TGGGTTCCCGGGGTCGGGCTGGGAGCGGGCTGCTGGTTCGTATTGTGTGTCGATCTGGCGCCACCCACTTTGCTACTATCAGAAAATCTGATGTGTAGGGGTGGCGGCGTATAGACCTCAGAGGTAGATGTCTGGGTTCATCGACATCGGACGTGTGCGCTGGCCTCAATTTCCCCATAAGTAAAATGAAAATAGTAATAAAACTCTCTGGTAAACGTACTTTAGAACAGCGGTCTGACTTTTTGGGTATGTGTTCAATAATTGTTGGCTTACTGCTATTGTTTTCCAGAAGTCCCTGGCCCATATGATTAAAAAAACGCAAGGTGTGTTTACTTGTTTTTGAATGAATTAAGCTAAAAAAGCTGAACATTGAAGCACTGTTAGCCATCACACTCGTGACCAACCCTGCAGATCACAAATTACCTTGCCTGATCTAGTTGATGCTGAGAGGTCAGGGATAGAGTAATAACAGGAATAACTAGAATGTTAAAGTGCTTTATATTAAGCTGCCAGTGCACTTCCACCACGACTTATCTCATTTGATCCTCACAACACAGGCTGCTGAAGGGGAGATGAGCGGTGTTATTAATCATCTTACAGAGGGGGAAATTGACTTGGAGAATTAAGTGGCCTGCTTCATGAGGGTTGTGGGAGGTCAGTGGCAGAGAGCTTAACTGTGTACTCTGGGGCCTTCTGACTGTGAATTACTTACTACTTGATGCTTCTTGAACTCATGATAAGCTAGAGAGGTGCAAGGTTAGATGGCCCAGGTCTAGAGATTGCTGGAAAAGAAGCGGCAGGCAAACGAGGATCACATGGAGGAGGCAGCAGAGTTGGGAGTAAGAACTGTAGATATACTAAAGGAGAGGGTCCGTACCCAGTGGGAAGAGAGGTGAGGGCGGGGAAGGAGTATAAGAAAGGGGAAAGACTTGGGGGCCACGGACTTCTGTGACTACAGGATGGCTCGAATAGTATCAGAGGAGGCTTCGTCTTTTGAGAAGAAGGGATGCCACCCTGAGCCAGGAGGAGGGAGGAGAATGGAGCAGGTGACCACAGGTGTTGAAATAGAAAGGAACTTAAAGGGCGTGAGGGTTATGGACCTTAATAAAAAGAAAGAAGAAAGTATTTTTGGGAGTAAAAGTGGTAGGTATTGGGGGTTTTAGATTTGAGAAGGGAAACCGTTTGAAGGTTCTGTGTGTGGAAAGGGCCAAGGACATTAGAAATGCGCTGCCGAAAGGACCTCTGCTGGTGGCAGGAGGGCAGGACCCGATAAAACGTCTTGGGCTCAAGTCGACAGATTCTTGTGAACGCCTTAGGCATGCTGAGGATATTCTTGGCCAGTGTATGTACACGCTCTGGGATGTTTTTGTGGAGCTCGACATGAGTGCTTAGACAGGCGCCAGGGCAATATAGGATGGAATATTTCTGTAATTGCTGAGGAGTGAGGAAAAAACGGCACTCGCAATAACCCTTTGTTACCAAAATCCAAAGCAGTGTCAGTGCTGTGTGTGTCGGGTACCTGTTACTCAGGATGTGAAGTGCACAAGTGATGATATTTATGGTTGCGTTTCACGGGGTACATGTGTTTTGGTGACAGCCTAGTAGCAATAGTTTTGTTTTGGGTTGCTACAATGCCTTTGTTATACAGTCAGGGAGTGAAGTGAGGAGATGGTAGATGTAGATGCTTTCTAAATCGGCAAAATGAGGAGTTGGACTAAGGCAGAGCCCCAAAGTCCTTTCTAGACATTACCATATTTCTCATCCATCTCCAGTTCCTCACGCCCTCTCCATTCCTCTTTACCATTCAGTTTAGTATGTCTCAGGTTTTTTTATGGGCTTTAGAGAGAGAGAGAGATTTTTTTTTTTTTTTTTTTTTTTTTTGCTTAGAGACTTCATGCATTATTAAAAGCAGTATATAGTGACTGTAGAAAAATGAAAGATATATCGATAAATAAAAAACCTGTTAAAAATGTGTAACTTTACCACCATTAAATAACCACTGTTTGTATTCTTCCAGAGATTTTTTTTTAGGTGTATATGCCTAAATAAGATTCTTAAATACAGAAACGTACCCTGCTTTTCTCAGTTGAAAATTATAAACCTCTCTCCTTATCAGTAGTCACTGCTGTGTAATTATTAAAGGTTGATGAATATTCTGCTTCAGGAATGTATTTTATCAAATCTCACTTTGGACATGTACATTAATGTACATCCTTCTAACTATATTTGTGAGGCTGCTCTTAATTATTTCCTTATAAGATTAGGAAAGAGGTTTAATGTATAATACATACTGCCTGGAAGACTGAACCAATGTACAATTCCATCACCAGTATGCGAGAGATCTCTTCTCCCACACCCTTCTTAACATTGGATAGTGCAGTTTAAAACAAACAAACCCTAACAGTTTTATAGATAGAGGAACATCTCTTCATATGCCATTTATATTCCTTTGTGATTTTTCTGTTCATATCCTTTGCCCATTTCTCCAGAGGGGTATTTGCTATTTTTGTTACTGACTTGCAACAATAAGATTTTAAAGATTTAAATTTTTAAAAATGTCTTTTATTATAAAAGTATGTTCATTGTTTTGATAATTTCTTCCAATTTTTATACTGCTTTTAAATGTATATATTTAAATTTAGGTTGTCAAATCTTTTCCTTTACGGTTTCCATATAGGCTAACTAGGACGTAAGAATGCCTTGGTATTTGTTGCCCACTGTCAGTTCTTCACATAGCAGAGTAATCTCTTTCAAGTGTGATCACATCTTGGCATACCCCTGCCTGAGCTCGTCATGGCATTCTTGTTACCATGGCCTGCACGGCCTGGCATGATATTGCTTTGCCTGCTGTAAAGCCCCACCTCTTGTCACTCACCCTTGAACACTGTGTTCCAGCCCCACTGGTCTCTTCTCAGTCCAGGGAATATGCCAACCTCCTTCCTGTCCCTGAGATTCTGCAGGTGCAGTTTCTTTGCTTGG